GTTGCAATAAAATGTACACAAACAAGTAAAATGATACTAGTTGGTTAGGTTTTAAAATTATTTTCAATCTCTACTTTGGTTGGCAAATTTATACTGCTTCATTTACTTATACAGGTCATAATGCCAACCAAAGTAGGGATTGAAAATAATTTTAAAATCTAACCAACTAGTATCATTTTACTTGTTTGTGTACTTTTTATTGCAACATGTATTTTTGTTTTGGATACTTCTTATAGCAATTCTACGAATAACCCACAATCCATACTTTCCATTAAAACTGTAACTGTTTTCCCCATTTATTTGTTCTGTTTTTATATGTCCATAGAAAACATCTATAAAATTTCAGTATAGCCATATCCCTGATAGCTATAAATTTTATAAGAATTAAAACCACAACACAAAGTGTATAAAGCTGCCAAAGTAGCAATTAAATTATATAAATTTGTGATTGTGGTTTTAATTCTTGTTTCATTACTTTTGTAGCGGGATCCATATTTAATTTTCAAATTCATAATCTTTAATACTCTTGTTTGTTTACTTTTTAAGTTATACCTGTATAAAGTATATATTTTACCTTTAGAAACTATCGCATGTTTATCCATCGATATGTAGCACCATCTGTTTCTTTGTATTGGGTTTAAAAGATATTTAAGGACGTGCATGATATGGTTACCATTTATAAAAAATCTGGACACATATATATCAGAATATCAAAAGCAGATACCCACAGACCAGTCAAGTAAGCTGGAGAAATCTTGTAGCAATAGTTTAAGCTGTCTAGAGGCTAGCCCCACTGACAAGCACAAAAATTTGCCTGTTTTTAATCTAAATTGTATTCTTTATTCAAACAGATAAACAAAATACAAAATGACTATCAAAAAAATAAAAATAAACTATATACAATCAGATTAGCATGACTTGTAACAAGCTCATGGCTGCCAGCTTGTTTCAAACTCTCATCCGAAGTAACACTTAAGTACTAAGTCATGCGTGAATGAGAAAAGATGCTGAAATGTTCATTAAACAGCTTTTGGTGAACAAGTACTTTATTTCTTAGTCAGACTGTGATATAGTCATGTAAAATTTGAGATTCTCACAAATTTATATTAGTATACTAATATTTTGATGAATGGGATCAATCATGCACCAAAACTCAAATAACTGACAATTAAAAATAACATAGCACAATATGAATTAAATCAAAGCTCTGACAACAAAACTTCTCTTACAGAATGTTTTCCATTCTCTTCTTTTTGAAAAGAATCAAACTTAATACTTACTTGCTCTTTCGTATTAGGAATATTACCTGAAAGGCAAAAGAAAAGCTTATAGTACATAATAATGTTTGTACATACTTCTATTAAAGCTTGATAATGTAAAGCTTTGAAATGCTTTAAAGGAGAAAACTATAATTACTTTGTATAGATTAGGATTAGATAACCTGAATAAAAAGAGATAAAACTGTATTCAATGATAGAGGAGATTATAACTAGTATCTAAAAAAAACACTCAAAATCAGTTATGTGAGAAAAATGTTCAAAAGGAATGTAGTAACTGAATTTGAAAAATAATATGATTAGTTACAATCACCAATTGCTTATACATAAATATATGGGTAATATTAATACATTAGTAATTAGCCTAATATTTTAAACATTTTATCTTATATGTAGGAAAAGTCAATCTAAAAAAGAAAAAGAAAAAAAATCACATGTTATTAACAAAAAGATTAACTTGGCCAAAGCTAATATCACTCAAAACTTTATTACACTTACCAAATTATTTTTTCATAGAAGTTATCATTATCATGGGTGAAAGTAACTAAACAAATGGTTCTTGTTTATTCAATGTTTTGGAGTTTTTAAATAGTACTCATTAATCTGATAATGACTGCATATTTAGTTTTTTAAAAAAGCAAACATTTTAATAAAGCTCTTTTCTCAGCCATGAGGAAACATAGGAATATTGATCACAATTATTATAGTGAAACTTTATACATTTCACTTCTTTAACAATATAGAAAACAAGTCTTATAACCTGCAATATCTTACATTATGTTAGTTTTTGAAAATGTAACTAAAGTAATAAAAGGAACTGCAAGAGGATTTCATTTGCTCAAATCAAACTATGTTGCTTTAGCACAACCAAAGTAAAACTAAAACTAGACACTTAGCCATAATCAGATAGGTAGCATTATTATTAATGTGTGTAGTTTCATTAGTTTAATCCATAAGCTTTCAGGAGATGGGAGTTAATAAAGTATGTTAATACTTTTGTTTTCATGCATTCAGGAAGATACAGTAGTATAAAATCATACAATTAGTGTATTTGTAAGAACATTTTTTTTTTGGGGGGGGGAGTAATATTGTTTTGAAACAGGTCTGGAACCAGAGCTGTTTGTAAATTATGTCTATAAGTTTTCTATGTATTTTTGAAATGAGAAATAGAGCTGAGCATTGGTAAACATTTTCAAATATGAGCAAGAAAAGGAGATGATTATTTTGTTTGAATATCAGTTACATGTCAGTTTGAATGATAGTACTGTATTTATTTCTGATCATCTCACCACAAAAAGAATTTTGATATGCTTTGATTGGGGCGACCAGATTTCCAAGCCGAAAAACCGGAACAGTCCAATCGTTGCCACTAATTTCAAAATGGTTATTATAAACTTGAAATAATTTAACTTTTATTTAATTTACTTTAAACTTACTGACCTGTTCCACAATATTTCCATATTAACATTGGCACTATTTTTGGAATAACTGAACCATAATGTACGATACTCCACCATTTGCTATCAGAAACACAACTTTGCAAATAATGCATTCAGTCCGCTTTCAAAGTATCCGAAAAAAACTTTTTGATATTTTGACAAGTTCAACATTTTCAATAATAAAAATAATTTAGAGGACAGTTCCTGACCTTTAACCATCCACCATACATTCACCAACTGCTATAGGTCTACTAAAAAAAACTTATGCAGCACTTGGGTAAGGACCCTATGCACAGACAGAATTTGAGAGAGTTTAGTAGCAGGAGAGTACGTGTTACAACAGTGAGCAAATCAAGCAGGCCTACTACATTCATGATTGGATGTGACTGAGAGTTTGATGTTCTTATCATAAAATCAGGACATTTTGTGCATCGCCACAACTTTTTTTTGGGACATTGGGACAATCTACCAAAAAATGTCCTGGCAAAACTAGGATGTCTAGTCACCCTAGCTTTAATTAATGTTAGAAAATAATACCAATACTTATTGGTTTATTGAATTTTAACTCTAAATGACTAACTATATTTTTATTTTATTGAAACACTAATTACTCCCTTTATTAATGAAATAATTAAGGAATTGAAAAACTTCAATCTGTAAGAGGTCAGTTGTTAAATTGAAACTTACAACATAGAAATATAAATTTTGATAATTAAGATAATACTACCAATGTTGAGAATTACTCACTTTTTAACAGTTACTAATATTTTACTATAATGCAGTTTTAATACATTTGACTTAGTAAAAGGAGTGATAACCTGAATTTTTTCAAGGTTTCATTGGATAACTTTATGGACAACAAAACTAAGTTTCATTTCTAGTTAGAAAACAAGGGATGGGCTAATGATTACATTTTAAGACTAGTGGCTGTCAGTGATTACATTTTCTATGATAAAGAACTTATCTTACCACAGCAACAATTGCAGTAGCAAGGGCAACTATCCCAATGGCAATTCCAAATCCAAAGAGAAACGTTGAAGCTGCATGAGCTGCATTGAGGTCTACTGAACCTGTGGTTGTAAAAACAGTTACATTTTCAACATCTTCTGAGGTCTTATTAACAAGAATGTTACTAGTAGAAGTATACTGTGGAGCAGAGGGAGTGACCAAGATCCCAACCATCAGGATTATCTTGGAATATCACCTTAGTTTTTTTCCTGCATCATAACTTCAGTATCCTTGGCTGTACACATAAACCTAAAAAACTATAAGAATACATTTTTTGTTCCAAATTTTCATATACAAAACAGTAACAATAAACAAGACCACTCTCACTTAAACTAACAAAATGTCACAAATAAACCCAAAAAGATAAGTGATTCTAAAATCTTAGGTTATGTTTTTGTCCAAGTTATGTAACATGACTTAAAAAGAAATCATGTAATTAACCACCCACTTCTTCTTGTGCAGGAAAATTTTCCATTTTACAAAGTGTTATCAAAAACTAACATTTTTCCTGAATTGCTGGTTTTATTTTGTTATTACAGAAATAGAATAATTTTCACAGTTTAAAAGGTCACAATGCAAATACCACTTTACGTTGTTACTGAAAATCAAGCGTCAAACATTATAATGAAGTTTTTATTGCAAATTTACATGTAGTTTGATTACTAAAACAGCCTAAAATTAACCCTCCACAATTTAAAAATAGATTATAATGTTTAATGTGATAAAGAAATAACCAGTTATATTCTATAATAACAATGAGTTATGAATATTAGTGAATGTTAGTGAATAAGCAAAGCCCAAAATCAATAACAACTCAAAACTGGAATATGAATATAGGACTTTGTATGTAGTTGTAAATCTGTCCACTCAAACTGATAAAAAATAAAATACCAGAGAACATTTTCAATTCTTTCCAAAAAGTTTTAATATTTATTTTGTTTCCTTTTGCAAAAGAATCTTTTTTAACAAACCTTAAGAAAACAATGAATATCCACCAAAAAGTTTTTTCTCCAACAAACTTTTCTACACAAATGTTCTACCGTAGTAGGAACTCGCACACAATAGTTTTGAATCAAAACAATTTCTGATTCAAATTAAATAATATATGAAAACAGCTAGCAATTCAAAATCAAATCAAATTCTTTTTTTGTATGAGAATTCTTAATTAAAAATAAATAAAATGAGTAAGATTATCCACATTCAGTTTGCAAAAAGTACAATGTCTACAGAAGTGAATACATTAAAAAGAACACTGAATATGCAAATCAGAAAATATCATGCAAAATCAGCAGATTTTAAGCCATGGTGGAACAGAATGTATCGGAATTACATTTAGACATTATTTGATATCTTTTAGGTAGTGTGATGCTGACAAAAATTTATTGCTTCTGGGAAGTAGCAGGCCTTCCCAGCACAAAATATTTACACATTCATGTTAAAAAGATGTGTTCAGATTGCATATTTAGAAGTTATTTCCAAGACAGGGATATCTCTTGAATTTAATGGTATTGGAAAACACAGGCATGTGGATCAACTTAAGGACCCAGGGCCATCCAGAAAGAGACCTGCAACAAACTATACTCTAACTATGGTAAGCAAAGTACAACATTTTTTAACATGAAGGTCAGTGGCAATACCATCCATGTGCCCTAGGCAACAGTATGCAATATAATCAAGAAAGTTATGGCCTTTAGTGTAAACTAGACCAAAAGGGTATGGATTCCTGTCATACCACCCATTCAACTATCACATTCCTCAAGCAGCTAGACAATGAAATGGGTATTCATGCTATTCCAACCAAACACATATATGTCCAATTGCTGGACACAGTGCCTACAGATTACTGTGTGACCAGACTGTTAAAACGAATGCTGGAAAACCACTGACCTCATTTACTAAACATATTATGGAGAGGTGTGGTATGAAAGTCATTTGACAAAACTTTTTGCAATGGAAACTATACCATAGAGCTAATGTCAAGATGCATGGTCATTGGTAGGACAAGACATGGCAATATGGACTAATGACATGTGAGACTACAAAACCATATTAATATAATATTCAACTCTCTGGAGTTTACATCCAATGAATTTGAACTTAATTATGAACCGCAAACAAAATCAGTCATGTTTTTTTGCTGGTAAAATTATTTCTCACTCTGACCAGCATGTTAATACACAGTTACTCAAGTCTGTTTTCTAACTAGGAAAAATAACAACAACACTAAATTATATATATATATGTGTGTATATATATACACATACACACACACACACACATAGATGTATTTACCACTTTGTGTTGTTTCTCATAATCAAGTGTTATACATTCCAACTGCATACATACTCGGAATTACTAAAACTAGGGGGTTCCGTGGAATCATAAATAGCAAAACAAATCCACATCATTAGATTCTACAGTAAACAATTAGTAGATTTATACAAAAATTTGAATTATGTATTTAATAATTAATGAAAAACATTTAATAAATGTACCTGTAAATTGACCTTTTTGCACCATCTAATTTAAACAACACATATAAAATTGCTTTACCTGATAACCTGAGACATTGCATGAAACTTGTGACAAGGTAAGATAAAATGTAACCCTACTAAAATACTTCAATTTAAAATGTACACACACGCAAATTCATATTACATTGATAAATGAAATGAAAACTATCAACAACCAAATGTTAAAAATAAAGTATGAACTTAAATATTTACCTATTAACGTAAAGGAGAGATTTTATATTCACACTAGTTTCATGATTGACAAATGTGTACCTGTTATGATGTAAAGCAAACTGTTGATAAGGCAATGTGTCATCTGCTTACAGTTCCAATTTCTTTTTTTTTTACTGTTGCTATCAGTTGGAATTGTGCATCAACTTATGAATTATCAACTAAAAGCAATGGAGTTCATTATATAGCTTTGTTTTTTTCAAATTAAATGACTAATAGGTATTTATTAATAGTTTTTTAGTTCTGTTTGTGTGTTTCAAAGTTTTCAAATAGAGAATGCTTTGGAATACAAAAAAAAACACAATAATGAAGAGCACTATCATCTGATATATCACGAATTCTTATTAGCCAAGCATCCACTAGTTGTACTCTGTTTTTGGTGTGCTGCTAAATGGCAGAGGAATGTTTAGCAATCATGGCAATCTTATTATAGCCAATTTACAATTAGTGGGAGTACAGTTGCCTTGAAGTAAACAGTGCAAATTTAGCACATAATATTACTAAAGACCTTTTTCATTTATTGTTTGGTGTACAGTAATTTAGTATTTTGATTATGGGAGACTTGTATATTCACTACTGCAACTTCGCATTCTCACACTTCTATGACAGAAAACTATAATCCTCTGGGAATCTATACTAAAATTATGTTCTGAATTCAGTTTCTAATAAAATCAGTTAAACTTTGTACATGCTTTATTCCAGAAATAAATATATATGTTAGGGTTAGAACCAGACAGTTATAGACCTGACTCACATTTTGTTCATCTGCACTGTTTTGTTTTTAAATTGTTTCATAACAAAAGAACATGAAAAAAAGACAAAGCTATTTGACCCCATAGAGTGAGTCCCTCATAAACACACACACACAAATCAGTTTCACATCCACAATCTTCTCTAACAAGTTAAATAATGTTCAAACTAATTGTATGTACATTAAGGTCTCTAAAAGTTTCAATCTACTATTCCTAATATTTAAGTTTTGTATTTCCAACTTTTTCATTTTAACATTCAAGTGATCCACACCCTAAAAATTTTGAATGCCTGCATCAAGTTACCCCACTCTTATACATTACAGAGAAAATATGTTCAAAACTTAGAGCTTCTAATCAATGTTAACCTATCTGTACAAGAATCATTTTGGTAGCTTGTCCCTAAACCTTTCAAAGCAAATCAATATATATTTTCTATAATAAAAGAACCAAAATTGAAGCCAGTACTCTATATAAGGCCTTATCAAAGTTGTTAACAATGCAATGACAATCATCTCCTTATTCCTAAGCTCAAAATTTCTGGAAATAGATTCCAGAACCCCATCTGCTCTTTTACCACTTTCAAAGATTCAGCTTGAAGACTTGAGACTTTTATCAATCATTACACCCAAATCTTTCTCACTCTAAACAATATTTATCCAGCACTAAAAATAAGATATTTACATATTTCAGTAACCTAACTGTATCAGTTTACATTTATCAGGTTTAATTGTTATATGTTATATTAGATACAAAATGTTACAGTTGGTCAAACTGGTATGTGTACTTGGAAATCAAGGATTATTCTATGAATCAAGTATCTTAACTAGTTATATATCCTTCACCCAAAGCAGTAGCATTATTTAATTATTCTTTTCACATCTGTTTACTTCACTGATAGTTTATCCTGAAGTATGAGGAATGCAAGACTAACAAGAACCAAGTGGATCAAAGAAAGAAGGCCACTGAGGTTGCTTAAACCTCAAAAACTGTCACACACACATGTATAGCTAAACATCTCTCTAAAAATCAACATAAATTAGCTTTGAAAATTTCAGACTGCACATACCACCTCCTCTAACAAATAATTCCACAAACTGACCATTCAAAGTTTGAAGTTGTTTAAACTAAGAACGAACATGCAACTAAAATTTATAACAAGTCTTTTAACATTCACGTTGTTAGCACTTCTAGTTCTGCCCTTCCAGACAGCCTAATAACAAAAAATGCTTACAGGCAGCTCAGTCACTTCTCTATCCATTTTAAAGACCAAATAGTGCAATGCTATAAAAAAATCAACTTAATCAAAATTGTTTTTTATAATGATTATCCTTAAGGTTCAAGTACTTTATATTTGAGAATAATTTCATAAAATTATACCCTCTCCTTACCTTTTTATTATATATTTATTTATTCATGTTTTCAAGCTCATTCATTAGCTCTTTTTCAGCTTAAGGTAATTCATAAATCATACTTAAATGCTTCTCACTTGAAAAAGAGAGAATAAGTGAGATAGAAGAGCTGTGATAAGCATATAAATAGTTTGTCTAAAAACATAATATTCATGTCTTTAACACCAAAAATCATTCAAGTTACCCTTCCCAATAAATCATTATCCTTTGTGTGTGTGTATATAGACAAAAACTAAACATACATTTCCCTAAAAAAGAAAAATATGAGTTATATAAAGAGTATGAAGATCATCCTCATTCTTCATGTCAAAATTTCTTTACACAGAGACAGATGGAGTATTAAACTTGTATTATGCAGTAAGATCATGTTAACAATTTTTAACATAACATACAATAAAGGACTATTTGATACTTCAAAACTATCTTTGCATATCCACTCTTAGAAAAGTAAAAATGAAGCCCACCCTTTACTTTTCAAATCATTTTTCATCAATTCCCTCTTAACCAAATTACCGACATCAATCTACGTGAAACTCTGACAAGTAGGAGTGCAAGGTGATGTTCATGCAAAGAATAAAATACCTTTTTCCCATTGTACAATTTCATATTGCATAACCTCTAGAACCTCTGAAATGCATATCTATAATTTCTGTAATCATCCTTGTATACTGTATCTTGTATTTACTCTCCTCTACCATGAATTGTTGCTATATCAGCAATGTGGGGTAAAATAAGCAGTTTATTTCTCTAACACCAAATGCATAATACAATGTTAAATGGTACGCACACTTTGATCCCTATTCATGCACACAGGGTTAAACTCCTGTGAAGTGCTGACTGCCACTACTACCAGCAACAACTTGTTCTATAAATGGATTACCTTGCTACAGAAATAAAACTCTGAATTAGAGCATAGCTTGTCTTTTCCAAATCTTATTGTTTCCACCCATCATATTATCTTCAGAGCATAGTTAAAAGAAAACAGAAGCTTTTACCCTATCAATCTCCCACATAATCTTATAAACTTCAAGTTCACCTTTTACCCTTCTTTTCTTAAGAGAAAAATATCCTTAAAGAAACCTTACACTATCCTTAAAAAGATAACCCTTCTATCTAAGAATAATCCTAGTAAACTTCTTTGAAACCCTTTCCAATAACTTGAAATAAGTCAATATCATTTCTTAGATAAGATCAAAGTTCTTTACTATGCAAAGTTTCTAAGTAAGGTCTAACTAGTAGTTTGTATGGAGAAGAAATTACCTGTTTCTTCTTTTGATTTGTAACCAACATGTCTCTAAAATTCTAAGTTTTCCTTTATGTCCTTTTCTTATGCAGACACAATTCTGGGTGGGTACCAGTTTCTACTGTTATAAGACATATTTTGAATATGTAATTACAATGTTTTGTATTGTTTGCTGGAGAAAGTTTTGATGTGAGATAATAATGTGGGATGCCAAGAAATTTTCCAAGTGTCTAGATTTGACTGATGTCTTAAATTTTCTAGATACCTGGAGAATAACAAACTGTACAAAAACAATAGTTTAATTAGATTTGTCAGTTAGGAAGTTAATTAGATGGTGAGTTAATTAGTTAATTGGTCAGTTCAGCTGTAAATCTTGAATTTGTGTTTAAACAAAGTAGAGAGTTTGAAAGTAAATAACTGTTTAGTTTTACTTGTGGTTTAAGTCATAGCTTATGGAACTTTTTACATTACAGGTAAAGAAATAATTCACTTTTGCTATCTTTAAGTGGACTGAGCTTTACATTATTTTTATCACATAATCAAAAAGAACTTGCCTAACAATAGAAGCCATTATAACACTCATGTCAGAAGTGGGATTGTTTTGGTGAAAAGTAAAAAAAAAATAATTTAGATTAAATTTAAAAATGATAACATACTTGAAACAAGATAAAAAAAATTGTTGAAAATGATGAAGCAGGGAAAAAAACAAGCAGAAAGAGACAAAACATTAATATAAGATCAAGAACAGAAAAAGAGAAAATTAAAAGAAATTTGCAAAAAACAAGAGGAAGGCCAAGAACAAATTTACAGACAATTAAAAGAAGAACAGAAAAAAAGGACACAAAAAACTAAAAGAAAAGAAGACAGAAAATTAAAGGAAGAGAAAGAGTAAGGAACTTAAAAGAAGATCTAAAAGAAAGAGATGCAAGATTCAGATAAGATATTCAAACACAAATATCAATAGGGGATATGAGATTTAAATACCAATTAAAAACAAAAATAAAAGAGATGTGAGATTCAAATAAGAATTAGGAACAGAAATAAATTTGATTGAAAACAAGACTGAAAAAGCTACTGGAGATGTGCAAAAGGATTATGAGATCAAAAACTGATTAACCAAAAAAAAAGACATTAACAAAATTAAAAAAAAAGACATTTTAAAAATCATAATAATACTAATAACAAATATGAATTAGGGGGAAAAAAATCTATGAAGTACAAAAATATTATAACAGAAAGATCAATGAGGTACAAAGAAAACCATAGCTGTTAGTGTTATTAGTTAGTTGGCAACTTAATCAATTGATTCAGCCAGTTAGACAGAAAGTTAGTTAGGAAGTCAGTTAAATAATAAAAATTTTAAATATATTTTTCAACAATGTAGAGGGATTGCAAGTAAGTAACTAATTTTATTTGTGAGTTAGGCTGTAGCCTGTAGAGCTTGTACGTTACAGTTGAAGATATAAACCACTTTTATTATTATGTGGTCTAATCTTTGCATATTATTTTTCATAATAATAATAATAATACTAAAAACTAACAACATAACTGTTACGATATTAAATATGTCATCTAAATTACAATGATCCAAATGCATTACCTTGCAGTTACACTTGTCATTAGTTAAACTTAAAGGTCATTTTTCAAATAAATGTCAAACTTACCACTTGATACATTACAAGTAATTCTGTATAATACAAACAACTTCAATACAGCTAGAAATATTCAAGAGTTTAATGTCATCTGCAAATAATCACAGCCATAACCTTTTCGAATACTAATACTATTATTATTAATGATTACTATCTTCGTTGTTGTTTCTTAAGTTAAACTTAAAAAATTAATTTAATTTAAAATACTTATAAAAATAAACAAAGCTACCTTGACTTTCTTTTGTGCTTTAGTTTTGCCTCTGTTTTTGGTTAGTTTAAAATATCGATATCAGAAATCCAGCAAAATACTAAGTCTAAATACACACGTCACTTAAAAAACTAAATCGTTGCTACACATCAAACAATATAACAAAATTAGAGATCTTTAGTCTTTACACCCAGAGTCGCTCAAAACCTTTCAATCATAAAGCGCCATCTTATAGCAAATAAAAATAAGACAAGTCTTAAAATTGAAATAAGTATTAGTTTATTTCATATTCATTGAGAAAATAAGCACAAGGAAAATTTCATAAATATCAGTAAAGTATTGAATTCTATGACTAGAACTTTTAGTAATAAAATATTATGCATTATATTCGATTTAATTTATTATTTTGCCATCTGAGCCAAAGGAATAACCATTAACTACTGCAAATAAAGTGCATCCGTTTATTAACTCCATATTACAGCAAAGACGCTAACTTTTGTAGGTGTGGACAATTTTTATCTCTATTTGGTCAAAAAATCAAGGTCATTAATCGTCGGGATTCCAATTACAAAGTTTCAACAGAAGCCACTGCGTGTAACTATTCGAAGCCAAAAAAATGACAATTCTTCATCAGAAGAGTGTAAACTATGTAGAAAACGTTAAATACCATAAACAGATGTACTATAAATATATAAGCATAATTTATTTACATCACAAAAATAGATGGTTCGGCCAAACCCCCTCGAACCTCCTGCGCACGTGCATGCAATATACCTTAATTCAGATATATTCAAACTATTTTTCTAAAGTTCAATGCAGGTGTTGTTTTTGTAATGTTGTTCTTCCGCTGGACTGGTTCTTTTAAATTATTTGGTGAAAATAAGGCCAAATCTAATGAAGTGATGATAACAAGTTACTTTATTTTTCCTTAACGTCTATTAAAGGTTACTAATAATATTGTTGCGTCAGCGATTCACGTGACTACTATGACGCAACGTTTCTAGAACTAT